CGATAAGTTTCTATGTCACATGAAATAGATTCAGTTAATAGGGTTTCACTGTCGCTAATAACCTAATAGGGTTTCATTGTATTGGTGGCTAGTCAACACAAAGCATTAAGCAATTTCATGCAATAGAGATTGAAAGAAAAGAAATATGAATCAATACATCAAGTATAGAAATAGCTACATCCTATGGTGTTCCCCCCAAAATTGGGGTTTAGTTCATGACGAAAACGAAACACACAATCATAATCATCATCGAATTAATTGAAGCTAAAGAAAAAATACTGAAATTATCGGACGTAATCCCGGCTTTAATCTTTGTGGCTCGAATCGCCACTCTGCTTGCTCCGCGCGAAAGCTCTGCTGCAATTCTGCTCGCGAGTCCGCCTCCGTGCAATGGCGGAGGGAAGGCTTGAGCACTGTGGTCCCAGGACCCCACTTGGTAAGAAAAGGAGAGGAAAATTGGTAAGAAAATGGCTATCAAAATGAGATTTTAAGGTCAAGGACCCCTTTGTTAGATAACAAAAAATGGTTTAGGACCCAACTGTAGGTTTATTGCAGAGCTTTGCACATTAAACAAAGTTATTACAAAGGTTTAGGACCCCAATCTATCGAAAATCTGGCTATGCCACTGTCTCCTTGTCTGCTGCTTGCTCTCCCACTGCCAATTAATTCCCTCCTACACAAGCTGCTGTCCATCTCCAATTATTTGGCCCAGAGATCCTCCCCACAAAAGGACAAAAGACTTGGGCCATTTTAAACCAAGAATTGCCCCCTGTCAAATTCACTTCCGGCCAAAAAATCCCTTCTCAAATTCCGCCTTTCCTCTTCAGATATGGACAACCAACTTGGTCCAAAAAATTCAACAATAATCTTGCCCCATCCAGCCGTCCACCTTCTCAATTTCGTTTTCCAATTAGCAAGCATAAAGGCTTGGCCCGCCCTAGTTCCGCTAGTGCTCCTGCATTCCTTGTACTTTAATTTGGTCCAGCGGCCCAATTGTTCTTCCATTGATGATTCAAGCCTAAACATGTTCATGAGTGTTTGCTTGTGCTAAAGCAATCTGCTCGTGCTGTTCTGAAACTCATCAAAAACTCTAACACATGATGTTATTGGCTGTTCAATCATTCGATAATTAATTGGCCTTAAAACAAGCATTATATGTGTCAAACATATCATGAAATAATCACATTAAGAACACAAAATCAATATGTTTTCAAAAATTATCACAACTGTATATGGGCGCTGGGCCGTGCTTGGGCCGGCACGGCACGCGCACGCTTCGGGCTCATTTATTTCGTGTCGTGCTTGGCACGACCCGTCAGTTTTTGTGTCGTGCCATGCAAGCCCATTTGTTAACTTTGCTAGGCCCGGCCCAGGCCCGGGCACGGTTCGAATCGTACCTTGCCTATTCGTGCTTGTGTCATGCTCGTATTCGTGTTTAATGAAACAGACGAAAACAAAAGAGATAATGAAAAATAAGGTGAAAATAGGACGGAGGAAGATAGTATTAACCGATAATGTTTGAGAAAAGTAACAAATAGGGGGGGGGGGGAAGAAAACTGGAAGTATAGCGAGTGTGATTTGACTTTGTTTAATTCTTTGTCCATTTTTACTTATGTTAGTAATTACATATATATCTTTTGGACATTTCTAACAACAACAAATAATTTTTTTCTCCTTATGTTTTGTAATATTTGAACCTATAATTCTTTTTATATTTATTTTCTATAAAATAAATATTATTTTTGTGCCATGTCCGTTCTTATACTCAAGAAAGTCTCGAAAATATTAGGCCCAACACGGCCCACTTATATACCGTGCTCGTGCCCGTGCCCATGAAGTTTAGGCCCGGCACGGCCCATAAATTATTTGTACTCGTGCCGGGCTGGCCCATTTATTTCGTGCCCATGCTCGTGTCGTGTTCTAACCGTGTCGTGTCGTGCTAGCCCGTGGGCGGCACGGCCCGGTGCCCACGTACAATCACAACCCCACACTCAATACTTGCTGTCCCTAAGCAACGACTAAGACAAGAGAACGATAATTGGAGAAAACACAACACAAACCAGGGAGGCACAACCTAGCTCAAAACACAAGACCCACGACACAAAACATAACATCAATACCAGAAATTTATCCTTGTACTCTTGTGGTAATCAATAGTTTCTTTCTCAATTGAGGAGTTGTGCTTTAATGATCATACCATTCACCCCACACTCAAGCTCTTTGCAACCATTTACCATTGACTGGCTGAAATCCATAAAAAAACTCAATTAGCAACACTCACTTCAGATCGTCGGTAGTGGGTGATTAACAACTTATGGTGCAGCAATTATTAGGAGAATCTAATCACGTCAGTGAGGTGCATATCTTGTGAGGACAATCTGGCTTACTCACATCAACCATAAGCAATCAACTTAGCATAAGAGTCTAAAGAACAAATGGGGGAAGCTTTTCGCAAACTTGATTTTAACTTTAAGCACATCACTACCTTTTCTGACAAGGAGAATCTTTCTCTCTTTCTGATTTTGCTTGCCGAGTGGTCGTATTTAGTACAAGTGGGATTTGTTTCTTACTATCGGTGACCGAGCAAGAGCAATTTTTGCTTCTTAAAACTCGCATAAGGGCTTCTTTCAACTCCTCTTCCTTGGTCCGTGTGGAGGGTCACTGCGCATCCTCAAACGACACTTCACTCAACGGAGGATCGTACTTGATAAGCAACATCGTACGGTCGCGAACCGATGCTCAGTTGAACCTTTCCTAATCCCCTTGTGCAATGAGTGATTGCCTCACACGATCTAGGCATTTTACCCACACTTTAATTGTTATGGCAACTTTCTTATATTTTACTTGTCAGGTAGGATTTTTTTTCTTTTATAAGAATACATTTCACCCCATCATAAAACCTTTTAAAACAGAGAGACTCAATGCAAAGTCAAAAGCTCACAACAGATGCAAGTAAGCACGGTATCCAAACATGTCGAATGATCAATGTTCTCCACCTAACTACTTCACCATAAGGCATTACACTATCCTCCCAAAAGAGAATGTTACTAAAAGAGTTTTCTAATTCAAAGCATCTCAAGTCAGTCAAAACAACAAGCATCACAACTTTGCAATTCGACACTAGTGGGGGTGACTTTGATGATTTCATTCAAGCAAAAACTCATTTCACACGCATCAAGGTCATTTACATCATGTTACCACAAGAGTACAAGGTTTTGTTTTTAATTTTTCTGATTTTTAGGTGTTTTTAGCCATTAGGTTAGCACAGGCAGACTGCACTAGCACAGTTAGACTGCATGCAGTTTGGCTGTGCATAGCCAAATGACAGCTTTTTTTATAGTTTTTTTTACCACATGCAACAGGGACAAACAACACTAAGACTCACCACCCCATACTCAGGATGGAACATTGTCCCTAATGTTTAACTCCTAATCTAAACATGCACGGGTTTGACACAGCAAAAAAGAAAAAATAAAGAAAAGAAAACTCACCTTGGGTTGCCTCCCAAGAAGCGCTTGTTTAACGTCCTCAGCCTGACGTTCATGGAGCTTTCAACCAATGGGTATGGAAAGGTATCCAAAATACCCTCCCGAGCAATCCTAGAACTCATAAGCTCCATCCAACATACGAGTCACCTCTGCAGGGCCAGGTGTGCGAAAATTGGGTATGACCTTTTTAGCTTGCATGTTGGACCCTTTAGTGAGGCGTAGGTGGTACTGCAGCGCCTTGACCAAGTACTCTTCCTGTTTCAATGTCAGTGAAAAAGGAACAATAACAAGAAGATTTAAATCCTTACCCAAATATCTATACTTGAGGTGACCTGGCAAGGATTTCTGCCCTTGCTTTGATTTCAGACTTTGATTAGCTAGGACATGTGATAGTTCTTTGGGTGGTTCACTATCACAGGAGGAGGAATTTTTCCTTTCTTGAGCTCCACTTTCAAAGTCATCAAATTCATCGTGATTATGGTCAACTTGAAAGACATTAAAAATTTACTCCTCCTTACCTACTCGGAATGTCAACTTGCCTCTCCCGACATCGATGAGTGCATCGCCAGTGACTAGAAAAGGTCTACCAAGAATGAGAGGCACTCCCCGATCTTCTTCCATCTCCAGAATCACAAAACATGTTGGGAGAATAAATTTTCCCACCTTCACCAATACGTTCTCCACCACTCCCTTTGGAATTTTCACTGATTGATCGGCCAATTAGAGAGTGATCCGAGTAGGCTTAAGAACATCTCCTAATCCCAATTTCTTGTAGACTGAGTATGGCATCAAATTAATTCCTGCTCCAAGATCACAAAGTGATTTATCAAACTCTGTACCTCCAATGACACATGGAATGGTGAAACTACCTGGATAATCCCTCTTTTCTGGTAATTTATTCTGAATCACAGCACTACATTCAGAAGTAAGGGTTACCTTCTCTAGATCAACCCATTTGCACTTCTTTGTCAGCAACTCCCTTAAGAATTTAGCATATGTAGGCATCTGTTCAAGTGCCTCCGCCAACGTCATGTTGATGTGAAGTTGCTTGAAGATATTCGCAAATTCTTGAAGTTTGGGTCTTCTATGGGCTTCATTAACCTTTGAGGGAATGGTGCAGGAAGTTCATAAGGCTTTACCTCTTCATTCTTGATTTTTTTCACCTTTGGAGTTGCACAGGCAGAATGCTCATGCACAGGCAGATTGCATGCAGTTTGCCTGTGCAAGTCATATTTTTCAGCTTTTGCACTTTCTTCCTCTGCAGCTTCTTTGCCCTCCTTTTCTACTGGATTTTTCTTGCTCTTTGGATCCTCCAACTCCTTCCCACTCCTCAATGTAACTGCTACAACCATGGCATCCTTTGGATTTCTCTCAGTATTTGCAGGTAAAGTCCCAGGAATCCTACCTTGAATATCTGCCAAAGTTTGAGCCATCTGGCCTATTTGCCTCTCCATAGCTAGCATAGATGATTGCATATTATTGTTTATAACTAGATGTTGAGTGACGAATTGATAAAGACCCTTGAAATTATTGTATGTTTTTTTGCATATGAGCCAAAATCAACTCTTCCGGCTGGGGCTTCTTCTCTGGTTGAGGTTGCTGTTGTTGAAACCTAGGAGGTGGGATGTTTCGAAAACCAGGTGGATTATTGTTTGACCATGACATATTGGGGTGATGTCTCCATTGAGGGTTGTATGTATTTGAATACATACCACCCTGGCCTTGACTTCGCGGATTATTGATATATTGGATATCTTCCAACTAAGCAGCTCCTAGTTGACACATATCCCTATGATGAGGACCCTCGCAAAGTTCAGATGAAGCAACCTCCTCTTGTCTACCCAGAGCAATCTTGGCCAGCCTTCGTTTGAGTGCATCGAACTTAGAATCCAACTTGGCATCTATCTTGGCTTCTAGACTCGCAACTTTGTCTATCTCATGCAAGCCTCCTATTCTTCGAATACTGGTGTCACTACCCCATTTAGTGGCTTCTGAACAGATCTTCTCTACCAGATCATATGTTGTTGGTGCCTCCATGCTTGTGAAACCATTTCGAGAAGCATTATTCAGGGCATCCCGGAACTTCCTTCTGATTCCATTGAAGAAAATAATGATCACATTCCAATCTTCAAGACCATGGTTTGGGCATCTCATCAATAGCCCCTTATAGCGCTCCCATGTCTCAGCCAGACTCTCATCATCAGCCTGCTTAAAAGTAACAATTTCCTCTTGCCTCTTCATTGCAAAGGCAGGTGGGAAGTACTTATCCAGAAAGACCTTCTCAAACTGAGCCCATATCGTGATGGATCGCGGTGTTGTTTTCTGGAATCAGTGTGATGCATTCCCTAATAGAGAGAATGATAACATCCGTAGGTGGATTGCATCATCAGACACATTTGGGCTCTTCATTGTATCACATATACTAGCGAACCGGCGGAGATGCTCGTAAGGATCCTCATTGCTAGCCCCGGAGAATGTATACCCATTGGTGATCAAGTTGATAAATGTTGGGGTAATCTCCATGGTTGCATCCCAAGCCGGAATGAACACACATGAAGCTCGGGCTCCAGTTCTTCGATTCAAACGAGCCCTGATCGAACGATCCTCGTCTGCCATGATGACAGGCTCAATGTCACGAGGTGGTGGTGGTGGTGTAGGGACGACAGGTGATGAAGCCTGCCCTCTCTGTTGATCATTAAGGGTTAAGGAACGCCTAGGAGTTGTGGTGGGCTACTTCCCTAACTTGACCTGCTTCCTGTTCTGTCGGCAGGTCTTCTCGATCTCTGGATCTGGTGGCAGTAAATTGCAGTCGTCCTCCAAGGCATGCACGAGGAGGATAAACCTGAAAATTCTTCTGCACACTAACACCCAGATAAAAATAGTTCACTCACAAAAATCAACAAAAATAAGGTATGGCAGTCCCCGGCAACGGCGCCAAAAACTTGATAGGGCAAAAGTGTATTGCTTCAATTCCTATCTCGTAGTAAAACCGGAAAGTCCGGGTATCATCTTTCAGGGACTGGTACAACCTTATGATTTATCAATTCTGTGGAGCAAACTATAGATGAAAATGGTTAGGTTGCTGAAATTATTATCTAACAACAAAATAATTAAACAAAACAAGCAAATTAAAGTTGTCGGGTTGAAATTAATGGGAGAAAGCTCTAGGAGAAACACCGGGATTCACTACCTATCATATCCAAATTAATTCACATATTCCAATAAGTTTAATCCATATCTCTACAGCCAGGATATCACTACTATGCTAGCTATCCCTGTCGGGAATTACTACGTACTAAACAATTAAATCAAATCCTATTGTCGTAGCTCAATGAATTAATTGTTCAGCCTGAAGACCGATATCCCAATCAAGACCGCATAGCACCTTATTTAATCCACTGTCGCTTCGATTAGTTGCTATGTCACATGAAATAGATTCAGTTAATAGGGTTTCACTGTCGCTAATAACCTAATTAACTACGAATCATTGTATTGGTGGCCAGTCAACACAAAACATTAAGCAATTTCATGCAATAGAGATTGGAAGAAAAGAAATATGAATCAATCCATCAAGTATAGAAATAGCTACATCCTATAGTGTCTCCCCAAAAATTGAGGCTTAGTTCATGACGAAAACGAAACACACAATCATAATCATCATCGTATTAATTGAAGCTAAAGAAAAAATACTGAAATTATCGGACGTAATCCCGAATTTAATATTTGTTGCTCCAATCACCACTCTACTTGCTCCGCGCGAAAGCTCTACTTCAATATGATCGCGAGTCCGACTACGTGTCCGCTGCTTGCTCTCCCCGCTGCCAATTAATTCCCTCCTACACAAGTTGCTGTCCATCTCCAAATATTTGGCCCAGAGATCCTCCCACAAAAGGACAAGAGACTTGGGCCATTTTAATCCAAGAATTGTCCCCCTGTCAAATTCACTTCGGGCCAAAAAATCCCTTCTCAAATTCCGCCTTTCCTCTTCAGATATGGACAACCAACTTGGTCCAAAAAATTCAACAATAATCTTGCCCCATCCAGCCCTCCACCTTCTCAATTTCGTTTTCCAATTAGCAAGCATAAAGGCCCGGCCCGGTTCTGCTAGTGCTCCTGCATTCCTTGTACTTTCATTTGGGCCAGCGGCCCAATTGTTCTTCCACCGGTGATTCGAGCTAAACATGTTCATGATTGTTTTCTTGTGCTAAAGTAATCTGCTCGTGACGTTCTGAAACTCATCAAAAACTCTAACACATGATGGTATTGGCTTTTTAACCATTTCATAATCAATTGGCCTTAAAACAAGAATTATATGTCTCAAACATATCATGAAATAACCACATTAAGAACACAAAATCAATATGTTTCGACAATTATCACTCACCAACGACTGCTCCCATTCCTCTCCTCTTCCTCTTCGAGAACCTCCCGAAACTCTAGCTACCTTCTCTCCATCGAATCTCCCAAACATCTAATCCGCTCAAAAATCTCGTTGTTCCCCACGATTTCCTCCCAATCCAGGTTGTTTATACAATTATGATTGCCTGTAGGCAATCATTATCTCTCAATTTGGCCAATTGGATGCTAGTTTTGCCGGCGATTTCGTCGGGAAACAGCATGCAGAACCCTAAATTGCCCGCTGCAATCTTCGATTTGAAGCTATTGGGGGAAATCTGCCTGATATCTCACATCGAGCGAGAAGTTCTTTCTCCCTTTTCCTTTCGTATTCTGTTGCACTATCTTGCCTCCTTCCTTCTTCTCGTATATATAGTAACTCCTCGATTAATTTCAGGTCACAGGTCAGCCTAACTTCTTCCTTAAACCCATTACCTGCACTCTGCTCAGAGCATAGTGGAGGTAAGCAAAAACTTATACCTTCATTTGTCCAGATTCATAAGCTATGTCTTTATCAATCGATGCATGCTAATTTTAATTTTTTTGTTTTGGCTTTGTTTGGGAGTTCGTCAAGTTCGCATTAGGCATCAGCTCAGTGCTCACCATCTGTAGTCTGGTGAACAGAGTCTCCCTCTCTAGATTACAGGTTAGGCATAACCTTACTCCAATTCAACTCTCGATTATAATTTGTATTGTGTGTTGTGTGATTTGTCTGGGTAGTTATGATTGATTGATTGCATGCAATTATTTTATTGTTTATGTAGATGGATGTTGCTACTGAAAATTGTGCTTTGAATGCGAATGATCCTATTGTGCCTTCTAATCAAAACGGTACTGGTAATGGCAATGGCAATGGCAATGCTACTGCTACTGCTAATGGTTCTGGGAATGATGCGTTGAATAATGGAAATGAAAATGTTGAAATAATTGTGGATGAAGATCGTAAATTGACTTCTGATGTCTGGCCACATTTTGTGAGGGTGAAGTTTAATGGGGAGATTAAAGCCAAGTGTAAATACTGTTGAAAACGTTTAGGTGGTGATACTAGTAATGGAACCTCCCACCTGAGGAACCATTACAAAACTTGCACCCAAAGAAAGATACATGATGGTAGGCAGAGAGTTCTTGGTCCTGATTATAAACCAACTGGAAAACCCCTCCTATCTGCCACTCAATTCAATTCTGATGTGTCTAGGAAGGAATTGTGCTCTATGATTATGGTGCATGAGTATCCCCTGAACATTGTTGAACACTTGGGGTTTAAACATTTATGTTGTTCTTTGCAACCCCAGTTCACTGTCCCTTGTAGAAATACAGTGAAGAGGGAAATATTTGCTTTATATGGGGCTGAAATGGAAAAGCTTCAGAAGGTTTTAGATGGTAATATTGGTAGAGTTGCAGTCACAACTGATATTTGGACTGCAACTAACCAAAAGATGGGGTATATGGCAGTTACTAGGCATTTTATTGACAATTCTTGGAAACTTAAAAACATGATGTTGAGCTTTGTCTATGTCTCTGCCCCTCATACTAGTTAGAGGTTGGGAGATAGCTTGTTCAAGTATTTGCTTGGTTGTAATCTTGATAGGAAGTTGTCCTCGATTACCTTGGATAACTGTACCACCAATGATGCCATGATTACTCAAATGAAAACTAAACTTGCTATGGATGATCTATTGTTGGATGGTGTGTTGGTTCAAATGAGATATTCTACTCATGTTTTGAATCTTATTGTGAAAGATGGGTTGGAAGTCATCAAGGATGGCATTGAATTGGTTAGAGATATTGTTGTGTACTGGAAGTCCACTCCTAAGAGGGTACAAACCTTCTTTGAAACTGCTAAGAAGCTTAAAGTGCCTTGTGAGAAGCAACTTGTGCTTGATTGTCCAACGAGGTGGAATTCCACCTATGATATGCTATCTACTGCCATTGTGTATAGAGATGTTTTCCCTCGTTTGAGGCAGTGGGATAGTCAATACACCACTTTCCCTACTAGTATGCACTGGGATTTTGCTGCTATGGTCATTGATAAGTTGTAAATTTTCAGTGAGATTACAAAGCTATTTTCTGGCAGCAAGTATCCCACTGCTAATTTGTTTTTCCCCAAGGTTTGTGATCTGAGACTGAAATTGTTGGAATGGTGTGCTGATCCCAATTTTCTTATCTCGGCTATATGGCTGAGAGTATGTGGGATAAATTTTCTAAGTATTGGGATGATATACACTTGGTTCTCGGTGTGTCAGTGGTTCTTGATCCTAGATACAAGTTGCATGTGATTGATTATTATGCTGCTAAGTTTGGCAGTACTAATACTAACTTGGTGGCTGATAAGATTAAGCAATGTATTTTTGGTTTGGTGCTTGATTACTAAACCAAGTCGGAGGGGGAAAAAAAGCAAAGCAACTCTGGTCCATACTGAACTGGATCACTATCTTCTTGAGGAACTGATTCCTAAAAGATCTCCTGACTTTGATATATTGATGTAGTGGAAACTGAATGGCCTTAAGTAGCCCACTTTGCAAGAAATTGCAAGGGATTTCTTGGTCATACCAATTACATCAGTGGCTTCTGAATATGCTTTTAGCTCTGGTGGGAGGTTAATAGACCCTCATCGGAGTATATTTCACTATGATACAATAGAGGCAATGATGTGTACCAGGAGTTGGATTATGGAGGAAATGCAACAAGGTAATCTGCAGCAACTCCCATATTAGTTTTCTAATGTTAATTGGATGGAATGTTAATTGTGTTTTTCATTGTTTTCTTCAATCTGCAGAATCATCGAGGCTGTTGTAGAGGCAATGGAAGGGGTTTTATCAACTCTAGCAATTGCATATTCCAGTACTGAAGATCAAGACGAAGGTGGTAAGATAGTTGGTTCTCAAATTGGCTTCTATGTAATTAGTTCAATTTAGATTGGTACTTAGTTTGATAGTTTCAATCTCTAACTGTATTCTTTAATTCTTGCAGTTCAAGGGGGACTTGTGATGAAGAAGCATCTAATCTCACAAGACGATTTATTTGTTGAAAGGTTCAACTGTTCAAGGTATT